TATGGAAGTGGACGTTGTTTTAGAAGGGTTTAGGAAATTATGTATGTATGGTCTAATTTATGACAAAATAATATCCGACGGAAACAGTAGTGTCTACAATAAATTACTGTCATCAGTGTCATTAATTAATATATATCATCTGCATGGTTCATAATTTCATATTCAAAAGATTGAATGTAAGAATCATATTATTCGCAATTACGTATCCGAGGAAGCGGTACAAAATTTGGCGAATAGCGAAGCGATGGCCTATTTGCAGGAAAAAAGAAAAGATTTTTCAGTCTTGCATAACTATGCAACTGTAAAATGTTTATTTTTTAAATTTAATACCACAATCCCTTCTTCTGCACCTGTGGAACGGGTGTTTAGTACTGGAAACCAAATTCTGACACCACGAAGAAATAATTTAGGTGATAATACTTTTGAAATGTTGTTAATTTTAAAAAATTCATTAAACAATACATAAAAAAATACATAAAAAGTTTTCAGTTATTTTATTCGCCAAAGTTTCAAAAAGTATCTGTTTTCTTGTATCTTGTATCTAGATACATTTCGAAAAAGTCGAAAACAATCTGTATCTAGATACTTTTATCTTCCATATATCTGTATCTGTATCTAGATACTTTTAAAAGTATCTGTCCCCAACACTGATTACTATATTACTTCAAATAAAAATACTCGATGCAATTTTTAATTTTTCAAACACAGGACCACACATTTGTGGTCTCCAAAATGTTATATTATGTTGATGTAGTCCAAAAGAAAAATATATTTGTAATCAAACTATCGCCGCGACAGCACTGGATCGAGCGTATGAAACACAACTCCGCGCGTTGGTTATAAATCAGAATGTATAAAGTACGGCGTTCATCGTTTGTAAGTCACAGCGTCCAAAATTTATACTAACTTATATTAGCAGCTATATTCAGAGTTTTCAAAATCTGTCTAACAGTCAGAATGTAAAAACGGAATGTGTGATTAAATAATCATTTATTCGTAAACGTCTATAAATTTGCTTAAGGTGCTTTATTTCCGCGATCCTCATACGATAAGAGACGGCTATTTGGATCGAAAACGTAAATTGGGCCAAAAATTTTGAAGTTATGTTATTAGCATTTCTGTTTGTATTGCCAAAAGGGTGTTGCAATTTTGCATTCATGAAGCGAACAGCTATGCTAAACTTAAGTTGCATATTTATCTTTACGTTTATTTACTCTCGAGTTAAATACACGTTTTGAAATTAAAGAAGCATTTTTTTTCATAGGACGCGTTCCGTCATTACCAAAATTTTAATAGTTAACTCAACAAACTGCATTTTTCTGAATATACCAATTTCTAGAATAGATACGTAAATTTATGAAGCCGCTTTCGTTGTTTTGTAACAATTTTTTTGTAATGATTCATAAAAATAGAATTTTCAGTAAGAACTTGACTTTCAAAAGTTCCAAATCAAAATTTAATATTCATCCCTAAAAGGAAGCGGAATATCTTGTTAAGTAATAATTATTTAGGCATCAAAGGTGAAATCGTATCATAACGTGCTTATCCCCGTAACACCGCTAAGAGAAGTCTCTTAGTCCTGAAAGCAGAAATAAAGTCAAAAATTTATAGGTTATATTATTAGAATTCTCGTTTGGTATTACCAAAACGGTGTTGCAATTTTCCATTCATATTGCGAACAGCAATGCGAAACTTAATTTGCATATTTACAAATAAGATAGTAAGAGATTAACGTCTCTGTTATTTTAATGTTAAACAGAATATCGCTTTTTTAATTAAAAATTGACTTGAATTGAAATTTTCAGCGCTGTTGCCACTTTATTGAGGCTCAAAATATTAACGAGAATGACAAATTTCTAATTTTTTACTGATAAATAGGTAACCATTGATAGCAGTATCGTAGCGTATTGAATAATTTTAAAGTTTATTTGTCTGCGTTATATGCCAGCATGAAAATGTTACTCATCGTTATTTTACTGCAAACATTTAAATCAAATTAGGGAACGATGCATCTGCATCTGATGCATCCAGCGTTGTCTCGTTGACCTTGGAAATCTGTAGCAAGTGTAATAATATTGTGCAATACTGTCTACTGCACTTGCCGCCAACCTACCAGCCTACCACCGCGTCCCGTCAGTCTCCAATTTGTAGTTGTAACGAAGAGTCGAATGTAGCCGCTGTTGTTGTTATCACGCTATTGTTGTTTATTGTGCCATCGTTGTTTATTCTGCCATCGTTGTTTATTCTGCCATCGTTGTTTATTCTGCCATCGTTGTTTATTCTGCCATCGTTGTTACGTAAAAAAAGTGAATTTTATCACAATATGTGTGACTCGGAAGCAGGAAGTTCTGGCCTAGGTCGTTCTAGAGAAAGGTAGGTGAATAATTTTTTTTATTACGCACTTCAATAACAATAATTTCTGGTGATTCTATACTTTGGCTTAAATTGTTGAACAAAACGTGTTGTGCAGATAACGCTAGGGGAGTTCCGGCCACAGTGGTTTGGTGGTCATTTTTTCACTTAGATTTTTATACATTTTAGTTGTGTATCATTAGTCCGATGTATTTGTTGAATGACGACCGCCATTAACCACACAAAGTAATTATAAAAAAAATCAAAAACTTAATTTTAACGCAAAAGTAGTCGTAGAGTCGGGTGGCGTAAAATAAGGGCCTGAATAGAGAATACTTTCATATTTAAAAGTAAATGTATTTCAGTGTGCCATCTTTTTGAATTCAGTTAGAAATACTGTTAAATTATGTGGTTGATCCATATTGGTAATCAAGAAAAAAAGCTCATTTATCAATGACCTCAGACTTGAAAAAAATTACATCTAAAACAACATTAAAGTTCCGTTATCATAAAAATTCAGATATTTATTTCTTAGCGATCTTTCTGTTAGTGTTATTAAATTGATCTTGTTTCAACGTTTTTGCCGTAGCCTGGTATTTTTTTCTTTTTCAAATTTTTAACTTACTATTGCTTTTGTTAAAGTTTAAAAACATATGCTGCCCATAAGGAATACGAAAGTTGAAAAATGTTGTAGATTGTTTTTAGTACTTGCATTTTTATGTTGCTCTTGTAGTGATACAGTTTGATTTCAATCGATAAGCTTCTACGACAAAAACAAAATTTTTCACAAAAATGGCTTTCTAAGAGTAAAACAATAAAAATGCTAATGCTAGTTTGCTAAATTTTTATAAATACATATATGTCTATGTCAGGGTTGGAAAAAATCGGATTAAAAAAAAAATCAAAAATCAATGATTAGTTTTTAAATTACATTTTTTTTGTTTTTTTTAATGTTTTTAATTTTTCTTTGATTTTTTTAGTTTTTCGGTTACCCACAGTAATTCAAACTTCAAAAGTAGTGAGACAAAAATTAAAAGTTATGTAACTAAATTTTAACTTTTAATTATTTTTATTCAGTTTTTAAAAGCTATATTTTAGTAGTTGTTGTAATTTTCATTTTCTAGGTATTTTCATACATTCACAAATGCGGCTCTGCCTAGTTTGAATCGTGCCTCTATCGGCAAATGTAAACTGCAGCTGACGAAATAAATACTTTACGTTCCAAGAGTCTAATTCTATTAATTTTGGGAAAGTGTCGTAAAACCATTGTCAGTTTCTTTTATTGAAAGCTTGAAAGGGTCTGCATCCATTGTAGACGTAAACGTAAACATGCCAGATGCTTGTTTTTTGCTATTAATTTACGACACTGCCAAAGTTAGGAGAATTGGATTGTACTTGTAAATTGTAACGGATCTTTCGCCTTCGTGGTGTCCCGGAAAAATCTACGTAAATTGCGGCGGCACTCAGGTAGTACCCTTATTGAATTAAATTGCATTTAAAAGACTGTAACATGCATTATATGCTCGTAATTCAAAAAGAAAATTTAAAAAATCAAGAATGATTTAAATCAATGATTAAAAAAAAAATACTTGGTTTAAATTACGATTTAAATCAAAAAGTCAGGCCAACCCTGGTCTAGGGACAATATCGAGTCTGCAACTTTCGCAAATGATAAAAACTACTTCGCGTCAGTTATACAACAGAACAATAAAATCGGAACGCCCTGCTATCAATTTGAATATATTTTAAGTCCATTGGCTTCAATTAATCAAAAAATTTGTCTAATGTGTTACGCAGTTATTTAACAACACAGTAGAAAAGAGTATATGTTAATAGTGCTAGTAGTGGGAGTAGATTAGAGCTTGGGTAGTTATTAAAATCTAGTTGTATTGGCTTGCTTTCTTTCTTCTTCTAACAGACCTGAATTTTATCGCAAAAATTTCATATCATTATACAGGGTGAGTCACAAAACACGCGGTCATCGATAACTCATAAATTGTTAGAAAAAAAGTCAAGCACCAAAATTTACGATACTTTGAGGGCTGTATGCTAAAATTATTTTTATTTAACTCAGAATCTTCAGTTTATTAGGGTTGGGACACTGCTTGTTTTTTTTTTTTTTTAATGAAACGCCCATATATTTCTACATTTACTAGCCATTTCCTGGTTTTTATAAGCATAATTTATCATTTAAAATCGATTGCGAGGTTGCCACGTTATTCCTTTTTTTTTTAATTCTTTCGACAATGAAAGAGTTATCAAAAAAATCGCAAATTGTGTGTTACAATATTTGGCACTTTGTTGTCGTACCAATTAAATCAAATTTTAAAATACCCATTGTTTAAAAAAGTTCTGATAGTTTAATACAATTTACAAATATGGATATTTATATTTTTCCATTAGCACACAGTGTTTTATTACGATATCTTATTCTAATTTTGTGCTCATTTTTTCAATATGTCAATGTCTCTTAAAAAAGTAAAAAAAAAAACATAGGAACTCTCAACTTTAAATATAGAAAATACTTAACAAATGGGGAAGAAAACAAAAAATAGAATGAGATGCGATAATAAAATACATGATGTTGTATTTGAAAAAATTGGAATATCGTTATTTGAAAATTGTAATACTTATTTTTTTGATAAACATTATGTACATGAAGATTTAATTTTATTTATACCACAACAAAGCGCGTCTTTCCACAAAATCTTGTTACACAAATTTAAAAAATAACCCTGCTGCGATTTTATTTGTGAATACTTTCATTCCCAAAAAAATTGAAGAAAATTGGAATAGCGTGCCAACGTGGCATCGGAATTTCAAAAATAAATTATCATTTCTAATAATTGATGAAACATCAAGGAACGCGCGGTAAATGACTCGCCCTGCGAAATTTGTAATATCTCATTAAAAAGTATTTTGAAAAAACTACGAATAGGTAATAATAAAAAAATTAGAATACTCTGAAAGTGAGGGAAACTCTGGACATGCACATTTAGAAAAGCAGCGATATAGAACAAAAAAATAACAAAAATGATAAGTACATATCAGCATTTTTTTAATTTTGTAATTATTGGATATATTCTTCCCATTAACAGAAGATAAAAAGTACAGTAACGTATTGTTTACGTGAAATTTAGAAATAGTAAGTTCAACATGCATGTTTTGATTTCATTTTAAAATAATTCACTTACAATTTTATGTTATACAAAGTGTCAAACGATAACACAAGCTGCATTATCACGTCAAAACAAACCAACAATTATTAAGAAGTTGGGGCCATAGTTTGCTCCAATCCGAATTAAAATACGCTTTTGAGGATCTATTAACGCAGGGTCAGAAAGAGTACTAACGGCAAAATTGGCAAGGTCGATAACAGCACATTTGCGACCCCAACTTCTTAAGGATGATTTCTTGCTTGATTTGAAGTGATACAGCTTGCGTTAACGTTTGGCAATTCAAACCTGCCATCCTGTATAAAAGTAAAAAATACGCAACTCCTAAAAAAACGGTGTATATTCAAATTGTTCCCTGAAAACAGTTTTTAATTAATCTCTTTGAAGTCACAATTTTTCAACACTAGATTATATTTTGATTAAAGTGCAACACTTCAAGTCAAAGTTTCAGTATTTATTTTTGTCGTAGTTATTGTACGAAATTCTCGAAGGGGGAATGTAAAGATCCGATGTGCAATTTAAAGCATCCCTATAAGTTCTGTCGGGACTTTCAAATGGAGAGATGTCATAGAGAGTACTGTCGATACCTTCATGTGTCCTCAAAAGATGAAATCCAGTACAGAGAAACGCTATATCAAAGCGACACCATGAGGTACGAGACGTTGAGAACATTACAAATTTCGGGCATTTGTCAAGAATTTAAACAATTCGGCAACTGTAAATACGGAAGCAAATGCAAATTTACTCATAGGACAATAGAGGAACAAGAAAATGATAAGTTTATTTGTCCAGTCTGTTTCTCCGAAATAAGCATGACCTCTTGGTGCATTTTGAACCCTTGTATGCATAGTACTTGCGAAGGTTGTTTAAGAGAATTGATTGCACGTGATATGCCTCAATGCCCTGTATGCAGAGGCCAAATAGAGGAGGGAAGTTGTCCACTTTCTTTTATTGGTACTTTTTTTTTTAATTTTTCGTCTTTGACTCCAATTTAATCGATCAGCTTCAGTAGCTCATCGGTTCGATCCGCTGAAATTTTATGTGCTATATGATCTCGTTTTTAGAATTTTAACACCCACTCCCTGCAGAGAGTTCTTAATGAAGAGATGTAGAAGGGTTCAGTGCAAATACCGCCATGAATTTATTATATGTAACAAGATCCAATGTTTGGGCAGTTTAAAGTGCATCATGGTACATAATTTAACTCCGCAGGAAATAGAGCAGGTTGAAAGTGAGGAGATGCCTTTTTCACAAAATATTAATATCGAACTGCGTCGGCTAGCCTATGTTATAACAAATAGTTATAAAGCAGATATCCAGAATCATATGTGTACAAGGGAGCTCACAAGAACAGAAACTTGTATAAGAAAAACATGTGTAGTCTGTAAGCCTCAAGAAAACTATCCGTTGCCCCTCATGAGTATGTTATGACAAAATGTGTTTGACATTTTATTTTTCACTTTTTTTTATTAGGAAAAATTGTATGCCACTCCTGTAGATTGCCATTGTTGCCCAGTAAGTCTTTCTACTTAGTCACATGCGGGCATGTTATTTGTGAACAATGCTTATCTCATGCCAGAGTGGTGGTCTTAGAAGAGGACGACACAGTTTTATATTTCTGCCCTGATCCCTTGTGCGCTTCAATGACTGAAGTCAAAAGATTGCATTGGTAAGTAGTTTCGCTTTTTGCTTTCGTAGAAAATTGTTAGAAATTTAGCTTGTGATCAGTAGTGGAATCTTGGAACTTCATTTGGTACTTATAATTATGTAATTATTCGCTTCAAACAAAAATACTTAACAAGCAGGAAAAACCCGTTTTCCGGTTTCAAAATAGAAACAAAACGGGAATTTTGTTTTCTTGCTTCAAAACAAAAAAATTAAAACACGATATTTCAAAAGTTCGATACACCAATATGTGGCAAGGTGTATCTGGCTCAAAGCAAAAAATTGTCATGTTTTCGCATTTTTTCTTTTTCGTTTCGCCCAAGAAATTTTAGAACCAGTGTTTGTGTTATGGTCTTAACGAGTTCATCACTTATTTTTCAGAAAAAAAAAACGTCTTACCCATCACCTGACATATTCAGAGGGAACTCCTAAAATCTTTCAAATATGGCATAAAACACTCAAAAAAAGGATGCTGGACAATGTTATAATGAGTAGTTCAGGTAACTCATTTCTACTCTTTATAATCAATCTATTTCATGTCAATCTTCTTCTATAGATCTGAATGTTTTGAAATTGGCAAAACAACATTTAGAGGACACAGAATGTTGGCAAGTTGATTTGGTGCGACCAATAGAAGAGATCGTTTTTGAATACGTACCCTGCAGCCGATACGAGATAAGTGACAGCGACGAAGAACCTTTCCAAAGTAATGCTACCGACGAAGAATATGAGCCAACTTCTGAAGTGTCAGAAGAAAGCGATGAAAATGGCGAAACATCTGAGCACACGAAGTCTCAGTTACAGACTTGCAAGAAAAGATTGTTTGAAGGAGGTAGGTATTTCATTAAGTAATTATAATTACGAAATATTCAGGCTTTTTGTAAAAAAAATCCAAAACGTCTTTTTAATGGCCGACTTAGATTTTTTTACTCTTGTCTTAAACTCAGGTTTCTATTTTCTCGGATTCTGATCAATTTTATTAAAATGTCAATTTTTTTTCGTTAGCTTTCTTGCTAACATTTCCAAAGATGCTATAAAAATGATTAGTACCTAACTTAACATAATAAACGTAACTTACATAACACATGTAACACTAATTACCTATACATTATACATATGCTATTTCCAATATACTTTCGTGCATAAACATAAACCAATATTACACATTTTTGAAAACAAACAACTTACACACATCCATCACATATTTTTATTCGTCCATCTGAAAAATCTTTTCTTAACTCAAATGTTAAACTCCAAACCACCAATCGGGTGTTATGTAAGTTGCAAATAAGACTTTTGGCATACCAAAACTTTTTTTTTTAAATAACTAGAAAAATTTTTTCTAGCTATGCCTGATACCTAAATGTAGTATATTTTAATATACAGGGTTAGTATAAAGTCCCGGAACGGGCGAATAACTTTATTTGAAAAGTTTTTTGCTGAAATTTTTTTTGGATATATACCTACAACATTGATTGCATTGATTACAACATACAGGTTTTTTGGCATTTTCTGATGCAGAATAAAAAACTAATTTCAGAAATTATCAACTTGTTTATTTCTAGTGAAACAACATCTGGGTGTTCCATTAAAGTTGCCATGTTTAATTATACATCCAAAGCAAATTTCAGAAAAAAAAACTTTTCAAATAACAAAGTTATTCAAACGTTTCGGGACTTTATACTAACCCTGTATAATTCTCTGGAACAACCCAATAAATAATGTATGCAATGCCATTTGAAAAGTAAGTTACTCTCATCTGTAGAGATTTTTACAACTTACGTTATACCTAATATTAGTCGTTTATAATGTTCTAATAATTTTTCAAATATTTATAGAAGGACAAAGTTCAAGTAGTTCTTCAATGCCCACTACCTCGAACCGCAATGAAGACTTTGACTTGATGTTTACGCCATTGGTTTCGCCTGTTGAAGAATCAAACTGCAGGATTTCCGCTCATTTGACCATTTATATAAAGAAATGTTTCGTTTCAATGAAGATACACACCGTTTTACATGAAGGGCATTACGTTTGTGATGCTTGCAGTGGAGATGACAATACCATCAGCGGATTTTTGTATTCTGGTTTGCCCGCGACAGACCATAAATGTATGTATAGTAACAAAAAAATGCAAATCGAAGTTTAATTTTTGTTGTAGGTAATAAACTTTCCGACAAAAACAGAACACTTGTGCTGCTGTCTAGAAATTTTGGCGAACGTGAAATCCAAGTGAAAGTTCGTTACTGTCTCCCCGTCGGAAAATTAATAGGGGAGGAACTGCCGATTGAAGAGGAACGTAAGTTCATAACACCGTTAATTATGGATTGTGGTTCTTCTGCCCTAGTAAACCCATTAACGTCAAAAACCAAAGGAAAACGCCATTGTTGTTATTTCTGTGAACAGTTTTTTGTTGAAATGTCTTCACATATTCTTCGAAAACACAAAGATCAGGAAGAAGTGAAAAATATTATGACTATGAAAGCTAATAGTGTGGAACGGAATGCTGCGTTACGAGAGATCAGGCGAAAGGGTGATTATAATTTTAACAAAAATGCCACCTGTGAGGAAAAAATTGCTATAAGGAGAGTAGTGACAGGACAAGCCTCCAATTTAATTACTTGCCCAAATTGTTTTGGTGAAATAATGACCAGAAACTTTGCTCGACATGAACGCAAATGTACTGGACGGCCACCAAATAGAAGAAATGTGCTTAAAGAAGCTCGCTTTAAGATTATCCAGAAGGAATTTACAGCGAATTCTTTCAGTCAGAAACTTTTTCTCGCTTTCTTAGAGCCTGTTCAAGTTGGGCTAATTCTACACGAGATATTAGAAGATAAATGTTTGAAACTTGTTGCTGAAAGATATTCCTTAATGCATCGTGGTTCATACAGCGCATTAAAGAACGATCGCCAACATTTGCGTAGAATGGCACGATTGATTTTAGATGTTAAAGACATAAACCCCTCCATTCTGGATTTTGAAGATCTGATACTCTATGGAGGTTATGATGCCTTACTAGAGGGAGTTTTCAATTTGTGTTCACTTGACAAGGAAACAGGCGAGTTTGGAAAGCCAAGTCTGGCAAAAGCTTTACGATCGAGTATTACATTTCTTTTAGACGCACTTAACGTTGATTATTTAACTCATAATCTTCCCACACAATGTGAAGAGCGTGGCCGTTTCGACAATTTCAAAACTCTCCATGATAAAAACTATGGAATCTATGTTGGCAGGTCAGCTGGTCGAACCAGCTTGCAAAGAAAAGCAGCCAAATTACATAATTTACCAAAGGCAAAGGACGTTAAATTATTTTCCACATTGATAGTTTCTGAAGCGGAGCAGGCGTATCAACGGTTACAGGACGGTTTCGATTTCGACACATGGCTAAAATTAGGAAAGGCTGCGTTGGCAAGAGTTATTGTGTACAATAGACGTAGAGTCAGTGAAGTTGCAAGTATGTCGTTGGAATTGTATAACAAAAAAATCGAACTTGATGATGAAATACTTCAATCCCTTCCAATGTATCAACGGGAGTTAGCGAATAAATACAAAGTTATGACTTTGATTGGAAAGCGTCTACATATATTACATGTGCTGTTGGACGAAAATCAATGCAGGTAAATGAGTACTTTGATTTTTCTACTTTTTAAAAGATTTTTGATTGTGTTGTAGGTATCTAGATATGTTTCTCCAATATCGAAAAGAAGCTGGTGTTCCCTATTCAAACAATTACCTTTTTGGTATACCTACGAGAGCGATGTTTATCGATGCTTCAGTTGTTTTAAGAGATTACTCAGAGAAATGTGGTGCTGAAGAACCGCATCTTTTACGTTCCACTTATTTAAGAAAACAAGTCGCAACCCTTTCCCAATTGTTAACAATGAATGACAATGAAATCGGTCAGATTGCAAAATTGATGGGTCATAGTCAGAAAGTCCATGAACAAGTATATCGACAAGACGAACTTTTATTTCAACTAACAGGGTGGGCAAAATTTTTGACTATCGTAGATGGAGAAGAACTCTTTTCATACAGAGGTAAAAGTCTCGACGAAATACTCACTATTGCACAAGATTTACCAGTACCTGAAGAGGATCCGGCGTTAGACGATCATATTACCTCTGAAGAATTATTAGGAGACAATCTCAGTTTGGATTCGTTTGAAACTACCTGTTCAACAGAAAGTACAATCAACAGAATGGAAACGAACCTCATGCAGGAGGTATCAACAGACACTCAAGTCTCACAATCAGGTGTGATAGAATGTTATACTACAGACAATATTACTGAAGTGCCTTCGGATCGTCGAAAGTGTGACAAAGTTACACATACTACACAAGAAGCGCTTTCTGAAAAAGTAGGGGGTACGTATGCTGAAAAGTCTAGAAAATTGTATATCATTGCTGATATTTTTTATAGCGAGAGCCAGTACTGAAGACCGGAGGATTGAAACACCAAAGAAAAAAATATCGAGTCACAGGGGAACTTTGAACACGAAGTCACCAAAATCGCAGAAATCACCAAGAAAAACGACAATCGCGGAGATAAAGCAGAAATTGCAAATAACTCCTGTAAAGAGAAGAGGAAAGAAACCATTCACCTCAGAGCAAATGTCTTTAATGCAGAGACATTTTTCGCAATACATATCCAGGGGTCATTTGGCACCACCGAAGCTGTGTGCAGAATTTGTTGAAACGAACCAGCTCTTCTCTGATCGCAGTGGTCGAGACGTGTACAACTGGATCCAGTATCAGAGAACTAAGCGAAGATGAAACTAGTGGATCAGCTGTCTCTTTTGTTTTTTTTTTGTTTTGTTTACAAGTTGTGATAATTTTTGATATTTTTGTAATTTTAAACACTGACTTTACATGTTAATATTGTATTAAATTTTATAATATAATAAAAAATGTCTTAAATTCACAGCTCGTATTTTTAACTCGAGAGTAAACACAAACGTGCAAGTAATTGCTTTCTGCAAACAGGAATGCAGAATTGCAAAACCGTTGAATTCGAGACTAAATAAACGAAAATATAAAACTTAAGATTTGCATTGCTGTTCTCAAGATGAAAGCTTAATTGTAAAGCCGCTGTGTTCTGTTGTAAGTGTTGCAAATCATTGCGAATGTAGTATGCAACCAACCTTGCTCAATTTTTCGTTTAATTACATGAAAACATATCAATTTCCGAATTTTAAATCAAATAGATTTATTCAAGCTTTCATGTTTACAATATTTTGTATAAATGTTAATTATAATATGATGGTGGAGTTGTCAATGTCCAAGTAGACATCCTGGTAAATTTTTCAACACAGTCAGGATAACACATAAACGTTCCACGGGGCTAGAGAATATTCGGGCCTAAGAGACTAGCTGAGACACACACAAATTGTGTTATGCCATTTCTGACTTACCAACTTCATCGCCATCTGAATATGAGTAGAATCACTATAAAGCCATTAAACTCTTAGGCCGGTGTACCCCCTTCGCCTGCTAAGATGTGTAATAATGGCACGGGCCTAGAGCGTTGTATATCGTCATGGCTATTATTATTATTATTAAATTTCGATATTTTAATTTTGGATTTATCAATTTCTTGAGATCTCAATTTATCGAGATTCGGATGTTTCGATGTTTTGATTGTTCAATCTCCCGATTTATCAATTTTTCCATTTTTAGCTTTTTGATTTTGCGATTTTGGCCTATTTCGGTTTCTCAGTTTTTCGATTTTTTGACTTCTCTTTTGATGTTTCTGAATTTTCAGTTTTCCGATTTCTCAATTAATCTATTTTTTAATTTTTCCATTCCTCGACTTCCCAAAGTTTCGATTTTTCAGTTCTTTAATTTTTTGATCTTTCAGGTTCTTGTTTTTCAATTTTTCGGTTTTTTAATTTCCTAATTTTTGGATATTGCGATCAATTTTTGGATTTTTCGACTTTTCGATTTTTGGACTCCTAGATTTTTTTACTTTTTGGATTTTTCAATTTTTAAATTTCTAGGTTTTTCGATTTCTCGACTTTACAGTTCTTCTATTTTTCAATTTTCCTAATTTTTAAATTGTCGATTTTTTTATTTCTCGGTTTCTGGATGTATCTCGATGTTCCGATTTTTGGATTTTTAAGTTTTTTTTCGATTTTTTACTTTTGGGCTTTTCAATTTTTCGATTTTTCAGTTTATCGATGTTTCGATTTTTCAGTTATCCGATTTTTCAATTTTTTAAATTCCCGAGTTTCGATTTCTCGATTTTTCAGTTTTTCGATTTTCCAATTTTTACTTTTTGATTTTTCAATTTTCCTAATTTTTAAATTGATTTTAATGTAAATTTTTGATTTTCGAATTTTTACTTTTTGATTTTTCAATTTTCCTAATTTTTAAATTGTCGATTTTTTTATTTCTCGGTTTCTGAATGTATCTCGATGTTCCGATTTTTGGATTTTTAAGTTTTTTTTCGATTTTTTACTTTTGGGCTTTTCAATTTTTCGATTTTCCAGTTTATCGATGTTTCGATTTTTCAGTTATCCGATTTTTCAATTTTTTAAATTCCCGAGTTTCGATTTCTCGATTTTTCAGTTTTTCGATTTTTATGTAAATTTTTGATTTTCGAATTTTTACTTTTTGATTTTTCAATTTTGCGATATTTGAATTGCTCAATGTTTTAAATTTTAGATTTTTCGATTTCTCGATTTTTTCATTTTTCAGTTTTTCAGTATTTCTATTTTCCAATTTTTCAAATTTTGACGTTGCTAAATTTTCAGTTTTCCCGTTTCTCAATTAATCTATTTTTGATTTTCCTATTTCTCGACTTCTCAAAGTTTCGATTTTTCAGTTCTTCAACTCTTCGATTTTTCGACATTGCTTTTTTGGATATTTCTTTCAGTTTTGGGGTTTTTCAGTATTTTGATTATTCGACTTTTCGATTTTTCGACTTTTTATTTTTCGGATTTGCAGTTTTCCGTTTTTCAAACTTTATTAGATTCTTCAATTTTTTGATTATTTTATTTTCGATTTCTCATTTTTTCGAATTTTTTAATTTTGGAGTTTTCAATTTTTTGAGATCTCAGTTTATCGAGATTCGGATATTTTGATCGTTCAATCTCTCGATTTATCAATTTTTCCATTTATAACTTTGATTTTTCGATTTTGGCCTATTTCGGTGTCTCAGTTTATCGATTTTTTACTTTTAGGCTTTTCGATTTTTCAATTTTCCAATTTTTCGATGTTTCGATTTTTCAGTTATCCGATTTTTCGATTTTTTAATTTTTTAAATTCTGGAGTTTCGAATTCTGGATTTGTCGATTTTTCATTTTTTCTATTTTTAAATTTCAAATTTTTATTTTTTGATTTTTTGATGTTTGGATTTCTCGATTCTTCGATTTTGTGATATTTTAATTGTTCAACGTTTTAGTTTTCGATTTTTCGATTTCCCGATTTTTTGATTTTTCAATTCTTCAGTATTTTTCAATTTTCGACGTTGCTAAATTTGCAATTTTCCGATTTCTCAAGTAATCTATTTTTTATTTTCCCACTTCTCAAAGTTTCGATTTTTCAGTTCTCCAATTCTTCGATTTTTCGACTTCGCTTTATTGGTTTTTCGATTTCCCAATTTTCCAATTTTTTAATACCACAATTTTTGAATATTTCTTTCAGTTTTGTTATTTTACAGTATTTTGATTCTTCAATTTTTTGATTTTTTATTTTTCTAATTATGTATCAGTTTTTCGTTTTTTAAACTTTAGATTTTTCAATATTTGGACTGTTTTATATTTCGATTTGTCAATTTTTCAACTTAAATTTCGATATTTTAATTTTTCATTTTTTCCAATTTTTTAATTTTGGATTTATCAATTTTTTGAGATCTCAATTGATCGAGATTCGGATGTTTCGATGTTTTGATTGTTCAATCTCCCGATTTATCAATTTTTCCATTTTTAGCTTTTTGATTTTGCGATTTTGGCCTATTTCGGTTTCTCAGTTTTTCGATTTTTTGACTTCTCGACTCCTCGATTTCTCGATCTTTTGATTTTTCGATTTGTCAGTTTTTCGATTTTTTACTTTCCGGCTTTTCGATTTTTCAATGTTTCGATTTTTGAATTATCCGATTTTTCAATTTTAATTTTTCAATGTTTTAAATTTTAGATTTTTAAATTTGTCGATTTTTCAGTTTTTCAATATTTTTTAATTTTTCAAATTTTGACGTTTCTGAATTTTCAGTTTTCCGATTTCTCAATTAATCTATTTTTTAATTTTTCCATTCCTCGACTTCCCAAAGTTTCGATTTTTCAGTTCTTTAATTTTTTGATCTTTCAGGTTCTTGTTTTTCAATTTTTCGGTTTTTTAATTTCCTAATTTCTGGATATTGCGATCAATTTTTGGATTTTTCAATACTTTCATTTTTCGACTTTTCGATTTTTCGACTCCTAGATTTTTTTACTTTTTGGATTTTCAATTTTTCGTGACACTTTAGATTTTTCAATTTTTAAATTTCTAGGTTTTTCGATTTCTCGAGTTTACAGTTCTTCAATTTTTCAATTTTCCTAATTTTTAAATTGTCGATTTTTTTATTTCTCGATGTATCTCGATGTTGCGATTTTTGGATTTTTAAGTTTTTTTTCGATTTTTTACTTTTGGGCTTTTCAATTTTTCGATTTTCCAGTTTATCGATGTTTCGATTTTTCAGTTATCCGATTTTTCAATTTTTTAAATTCCCGAGTTTCGATTTCTCGATTTTTCAGTTTTTCGATTTTTATGTAAATTTTTGATTTTCGAATTTTTACTTTTTGATTATTTAATGTTTGAATTTCTCGATTTTTCAAGTTTGCGATATTTGAATTGCTCAATGTTTTAAATTTTAGATTTTTTGATTTCTCGATTTTTTCATTTTTCAGTTTTTCAGTATTTCTATTTTCCAATTTTTCAAATTTTGACGTTGCTAAATTTTCAGTTTTCCCGTTTCTCAATTAATCTATTTTTGATTTTCCTATTTCTCGACTTCTCAAAGTTTCGATTTTTCAGTTCTTCAATTCTTCGATTTTTCGACATTGCTTTTTTGGATATTTCTTTCAGTTTTGGGGTTTTTCAGTATTTTGATTCTTCGACTTTTCGAATTTTCGATTTTTTATTTTTCGGATTTGCAGTTTTCCGTTTTTCAAACTATATTAGATTCTTCAATTTTTTTATTATTTTATTTTCGATTTCTCATTTTTTCGAATTTTTTAATTTTGGAGTTTTCAATTTTTTGAGATCTCAGTTTATCGAGATTCGGATATTTTGATCGTTCAATCTCTCGATTTATCAATTTTTCCATTTATAACTTTGATTTTTCGATTTTGGCCTATTTCGGTGTCTCAGTTTATCGATTTTTTACTTTTAGGCTTTTCGATTTTTCAATTTTCCAATTTTTCGATGTTTCGATTTTTCAGTTATCCGATTTTTCGATTTTTTAATTTTTTAAATTCTGGAGTTTCGAATTCTGGATTTGTCAATTTTTCATTTTTTCTATTTTTAAATTTCAAATTTTTATTTTTTGATTTTTTGATGTTTGGATTTCTCGATTCTTCGATTTTGTGATATTTTAATTGTTCAATGTTTTAGTTTTCGATTTTTCGATTTCCCGGTTTTTTGATTTTTCAATTCTTCAGTATTTTTCAATTTTCGACGTTGCTAAATTTGCAATTTTCCGATTTCTCAAGTAATCTATTTTTTATTTTCCCACTTCTCAAAGATTCGATTTCTCAGTTCTCCGATTCTTCGATTTTTCGACTTCGCTTTATTGGTTTTTCGATTTCCCAATTTTCCAATTTTTTAATACCACAATTTTTGAATATTTCTTTCAGTTTTGTTATTTTACAGTATTTTGATTCTTCAATTTTTTGATTTTTTATTTTTCTAATTATGTATCAGTTTTTCGTTTTTTAAACTTTAGATTTTTCAATATTTCGACTGTTTTATATTTCGATTTGTCAATTTTTCAACTTAAATTTCGATATTTTAATTTTTCATTTTTTCCAATTTTTTAATTTTGGATTTATCAATTTTTTGAGATCTCAATTTATCGAGATTCGGATGTTTCGATGTTTTGATTGTTCAATCTCCCGATTTATCAATTTTTCCATTTTTAGCTTTTTGATTTTTTGACTTCTCTTTTGACGTTTCTGAATTTTCAGTTTTCCGATTTCTCAATTAATCTATTTTTTAATTTTTCCATTCCTCGACTTCCCAAAGTTTCGATTTTTCAGTTCTTTAATTTTTTGATCTTTCAGGTTCTTGTTTTTCAATTTTTCGGTTTTTTAATTTCCTAATTTTTGGATATTGCGATCAATTTTTGGATTTTTCAATACTTTCATTTTTCGACTTTTCGATTTTTGGACTCCTAGATTTTTTTACTTTTTGGATTTTCAATTTTTCGTGACACTTTAGATTTTTCAATTTTTAAATTTCTAGCTTTTTCGATTTCTCGAGTTTACAGTTCTTCTATTTTTCAATTTTCCTAATTTTTAAATTGTCGATTTTTTTATTTCTCGATTTCTCGATGTATCTCGATGTTCCGATTTTTGGATTTTTTTCGATTTTTTACTTTTGGGCTTTTCAATTTTTCCAGTTTATCGATGTTTCGATTTTTCAGTTATCCGATTCTTCAATTTTTTAAATCCCCGAGTTTCGATTTCTCGATTTTTCAGTTTTTCGATTTTTATGTAAATTTTTGATTTTCGAATTTTTACTTTTTGATTATTTCATGTTTGAATTTCTCGATTTTTCAAGTTTACGATATTTGAATTGCTCAATGTTTTAAATTTTAGATTTTTTGATCTCTCGATTTTTTCATTTTTCAGTTTTTCAGTATTTTTTTCAAATTTTGACGTTGCTAAATTTTTTTTCCCGTTTCTCAATTAATCTATTTTTGATTTTCCTATTTCTCGAGTTCTCAAAAGTTTCGATTTTTCAGTTCTTCAATTCTTCGATTTTTCGACATTGCTTTTTTGTTTTTTTTTGGATTTTTCTTTCAGTTTTGGGGTTTTTCAGTATTTTGATTTTTCGGTTTTTCGATTTTTTATTTTTCGGATTTGCATTTTCCGTTTTTCAAACTTTATTAGATTTTTCAATTTTTTGATTATTTTATTTTCGATTTCTCATTTTTTCGAATTTTTTAATTTTGGAGTTTTCAATTTTTTGAGATCTCAGTTTATCGAGATTCGGATATTTGATTTGGATATTTGAGTTTTGGGATTTTGTAGTATTTCTCTTTTCGAGTTCTGGATTTTTCGATTTCTCGACTTTTTACATTTTGGATTTTTAGTTTTCCGTTTTTTAAACTTTCGATTTTTCAATTTTTTATCTGTTTTATGCTTCGGTTTCTCAATTTCTCAACTTTTAGATATTTTAACCAGAGAACACAGAGAAGCGTCACAGTTTAAATTAAATGACGGTTGAGGACTTCTCAATTTATGTTGGTAGCAGTGTTTGTTTCTAACTAGGAATAAAAGTAACTAGAAGAAATGTCATAATATTTTTAACGACGCGTTTTATTTTCGACAAATTGACACTAGATTTACCAGAATATTACAAGCTGCTTACTGTTTCCTTCCCTTTCATTCAGGTCACACGAATTACAATTATAGTGAAGCAAGGTTTTTATTGGCATCGACTATTTAAATTTGGCGCTTGAGGACTCCAATATCAATAAGGGTGGTTTTGCAAAATCAGCCTCTATGTCGCATCTCTGTGTTCTCTGTTTTAACTTCTCAATTTTTAAAATTTTAATAAATTTAATTTTAAAGTTTTTCGATTTCTCGAGATTTCAGTTCTTCTATATTTCAATTTTTCAAATTTCGGAATTTTTAAATTTTCAATTTTCCAATTTTTTTCTAACTTTTCGATTTTCCAATTTTTCGATGATTCGACTTTTTAATTAACCGATTGTTCAATTTCTCGATTTTTAAATTTTAGATTTTCCAATTTTTATTTTTTTGATTTTTTCATGTAGAAAATATCAACACGTTTTCACTGAAGTTAATACTTTTATGGCAGGTAATGTCCTGGCGGCTTCAAAAGTTAGGTCTACCACCAATTTAAATTTCCCGGACTATAGATACTAAACTTTTTTTTGTTTTTTTTTTTTTTGTCAGTATCTCATTGTGATATTTTTAACGTGACATATATCTTTTCCGTTTCAAAAATTATAACATAAACATTAACTCTTTTGGTTAACTGAAAAGAAAAGTCAACATGGCAACAGTTTTGTTCCCTTGAAATTAAAAGCAATAATTATTAATGCGCATAATTATGTTGTTATGTAAACTGATTATTGCCTTCAATTTTTAACCTCATGCTTTTGCCTTTGCTACTGTCTAAATTAAATCCTGTATTTGAGAATGTGAGTCACAAAATGCACAAACCTGCAAATGTAATCCTCCAATCCTATGTAAAGCTGTTGATGTGACTTGTGAAACAGGTTTAACAACATTATTTACAGTACTCTCTTGAAAGTCCTTAATATTGTGGAATGTACTGGCGGTGGCATCACTTATTGGTTTCATGGAAGTTCTGAAACCTTCAAGAGTTGTAATATGTTTCATTTCATCGAGCAAATTCTTAGCGGACGTTATTGGAGATAATACTTCTTTGTCATGATCTACAAAACAAAAAATAATTAATGAAGATAACACAATTAAACTGAAACCTGTAGCCGCTGTATCAATTTCTTTGTCTGACTCTCCCAAACTTATTGTATCAAGAATATCTTGTCCCAAAGGAATAGAAGTCAAATCTAAAGTATCATACCAAGTTTTACAACTTTTTGGTTCATAAATTTTAACCTCATCAGTCTTAATTTCACTGTAATCAGTAATAGTCGGTGGAGAACCATCAACTTCAGTCACTTCTTTGATCACGAAAGGTTCAGTTATGGTATCAAGCTTATTCAAACTAACTTTACTACCAGATTTAACCATGTCGGTTGGCGTGACATCACCTTTCTCTGTTATCTGGACAATTTTAACACTATTGTAGTTTTCAAGCTTTAAATCTAGCTTCTTATTGTTCGAAGCGCATGCTGTTAATATATAATAATTTAAAAACTCTGGATTTGAGATTAAATTTAAAATATAAAACATCACTTTTTTGGAAATTATGGAGACTAGAATTTGGTACGGAAGTGAATTTCCTAATTCCCAGTTGATGAAATGATTCAATAAATTAACAGTGAGCTGATGAATGAAGTAATTTTTGTCCTTTTTGGAGCTGCTACAAGTGTGTGAATACCTGAAAATTACAAAATTGTATTCACCTGAGAAAAACAAAGGTAAAATTAACCTGTATAAATCACTGATTTTTCCTGGATATTTGTCTCTTCGTTTTAAACTTCTGCGAAACTCCTTCAAATGTTTCAGATATAAATTAAATATCCCATGAATAATGACTTCATTCTCAAGACTCAACTGAACATTCATCATTTTCTTAAGAATCTCTTCAAGAAGCATTTTACTTTCCTCATTAAATGTTGGATCCGAACTTATATAAACGAACCATTTTTTAATAAAATATTTATCAATGTCCACAGTTAACTGTGTAACTGATGTCAGATCATCTAAATCCTCCTTTTGCTTGGATTCTGTCTTGAGTTTAAGTAGTCTCGATACGTCGATAGATTTATTTTGTTGAAGAAAATTCTGAAGGGTTACGAAACTAATCCAGGTACTTGACACCGCAACAATTACAACATATCCAAGTAAAGAAAAACCGGTAATGGGTAATACAAAGAACATATTACTTAAACACATCACTAACAAAAAGATTAACAACCAAAACAGTGGTTTCCAATATAATATAAAGTAGTTAACGACGTGCATTGTGCAACTGCAACAATAGAAACTCGAGAGGAGTTCTTTAGAAAGCTGTTATCATTCCGAAATAAATTTGTCACTACTTGCATTAATTAGTGATAAAATTTTGCGCCTTGTACCTTTGGTCCTTCCACTTCTAACTTTCAGGAATGCAATTTTTACCTATTTGAATTGAACAGAGAAGTTCTGTATCGGAAAAATTACTGGTATGGTTTAATACTGATCAGTTAAATGAAAACTGATTTTTTAAATATTTATTTACATTTTGGCGTTTAACATAACCTACACCTGCATTAAACATTGACAGCCACTTGACAGCTGACAGCTGTGGCTGACAGCATGGAACTTTTGATTGACTCTTTTCACGTTCCAGCAGAGGGCGCTGCGTTTGACAACATGACGGAAATATCGCTATTTTGTAATGGGACAAAAATTAATAATATTTTTACAAAAATGGTAGAAATTTCCGAAGAAACGAATAAAAAAATGACTTCTGGATATTGAAATCTACAAGCAAATGTCTTCAACTAATTTTCGGATATACACTGACCCCCAAAAAAACCGGCCACCCTGAAAAATTTCGCAAAACCAAACTTTATAAAAATTATTAATTTAACTAGTGATCGTTATTTTATTAAAGAATTATTCACTATTGACACATGATGTATAAATTAGCAAAAACAAGAAGACAAATAAACGCAAAATTAAATTTAATTTAACAAAATAACAGAAACAGAGCGAGAATTTGAGAGATGTTTGTTAAAGTTAACGGCATTGTTTTCGCGTGAAAACGTTTATTAACTGCCAAACTTATAAGCAAATGATGAAAAACACTGTTTACAACAACAGCCTCTTTTATTGTTTTAATTAAGAAAATATCGTACTTGGTATGTTTCTGTTATTTTATTAAATTAAATTTAATTCTGCGTTTACGTCTTCTTTTTTCAAATGTGTTTAGTTAAGTTTCGAAAATGTCAAAAATTGGGCGAAATTTGAAAAAATTTCAGTTTTAAAAGTTGTCTAAAAACTGCCAAAAAATTCAGGAACGTAGATCTCGACATGCTGATTCCAAAAATATACCATGTTGATGGCCACGGACCAACATTTTCGAAAGAATCGGTGCGAATTTTGAAAAATTTCTAAAAATTTCGATATTTCAACGGTCGATTCCGGAAAAACGGTTCGAGTTATTAAAGAAACGAGGCCGGGAGTGAGTTCTTGAGCTCGAAATCTACAAGAAAATGTGTTTAGTCAAGTTTCGAAAATGTCAAAAATTGGCCGAAATTTGAAGAAGGGGGGACTATTGAAAAAATTTCAGTTTTAAAAAAGTTGTATAAAAATTGTGAAAAAATTCAGGGACGTAGATTCCGACATGCTGATTGCAAAAATATAGCGTGTTGATGGTCAAGGAGCAAAATTTTCGGAAAATTCGGTGTCCAATTCGGATTTATCGAAATTTTTAAAAATTGCGATATTTCAATGGACGATTCTAGAAAAACAGTTTAAGTTACCGAAGAAATGAAGGCAGAAGTGACTTCTGCGGCCCAAAATCTACAAGCAAATATATTTACTTAGTTAAATTTCGAAAATCGTCGAGAATTGGTCGAAATTTGCATAAGGGATAGCCAATACGAATACATAATGGAAAATTTCATTTATGAAAAAGTCATTTACAAATTCTGAAAAAATTCAGGGATATAGATCCCAACGAAAAAGATAGCGTGTTTATAGTCACGGAGTAACATTTTTTTCGAATGTATCTATTATCCATTGTTGCTTAAGAATACTTTATTTCTGTTTAAAAAAAATAACTAGCACCGCCTATCCACCCTCTTCTCATTCTAACTAATAATTTTGTTTCTCTTCAGTATAAAGTCATTAATTTCATTCAGTTTGGATAAAATCAATCACTGAAAAGGAGACAAGGTGGGTGGGCGGGGTTAATTATGTTCTTTTGTCGACTGGGAATGGGAACTAAACATAGAATCTAGAATGTGGAAAAAGTGGGAAAAAAGCGCTAATCGTAACTTTTTTGTTAAAATTAGTCTTATCTTAGCAAGTACTAGCATCGCCTCCCCACCCCATTCTCATTCTTTTTACTAATTTTGTTTCTGTTGAGTATAAAATCATTAATTTCATTCAGTTTGTATAAAATCAATCACTGGAAAAGCGACAGGGTGGGTGGGCGGGGCTAATTATGTTCTTCTGTCGAGTGGGAGTGGAAACTAATAATGGAACAAACACTAATAATAATTTCCTTTTTTATCTACAAACTTTTATAAAGAACTATTTTGACGAAACTGTAAATGTCATTTGCCAAAATCAGTCTTATCTTAGCAAGTATTATCTCCGCCCACCCGCCCTTCATTTTCTTGGAAGGTATGTCATTTGCCAAGATCAGTCTTATCTTAGCAAGTACTAGCACCGACTACTCACCCTCTTCTCATTCTATCTACTAATTTTGTTTCTGTTCAGTATAAAATCATTAATTTCATTCAGTTTGGATAAAATCAATCAGTGAAAAGGGGACAGGGTGGGTGGGCGGGGCTAATTATGTTCTTCTGTCGAGTAGGAGTGGAAACTAATAATGGAATAATGGAACAAAAATTAATAATAATTTCCTTTTTCATCTACAAAATTTTATAGAGAGCTATTTTGACGAAACTGTAAATGTCACTTGCCAAAATCAGTCTTATCTTGACAAGTACTAGCCCCGCCCACTCGCCCTCTATTTTCTTGGAGGGTATGTCATTTGCCAAAATCAGTCTTATGGTAGGTAGAAAGTATTAGCACCGCCTACCTACCCTCTTCTCATTCTAACTAATAATTTTGTTTCTGTTGATTATAAAATCATTAATTTCACTCAGTTTGAATAAAATCAATCACTGAAAAGGAGACAGGGTGGGTGGGCGGGGCTAATTATGTTCTTCTGTCAAGTGGGAATGGAAAATAATAATAGAATCTAGAAAGTGAAAAAAGTAGAAAAAAAGCGCTAATCGTAACTTTCTTTGTTAAAATTAGTCTTATCTTAGCAAGTACTAGCACCGCTTCCTCGCCCTCTTCTCATTCTATCTACTAATTTTGTTTCTGTTGAGTATAAAATTATTCATTTCATTCGGTTTGTATAAAATCAATCACTGGAAAGGCGACAGGGTGGGTGGGCGGGATTAATTATGTTCTTCTGTCGAGTGGAAGTACTAGCATCGCCTCCCCACTAATAATGGAATAATGGAACAAACACTAATAATAATTTCCTTCTTTATCTACAAAATTTTATAAAGAGCTATTTTAACGAAACTGAAAATGTCATTTGCCAAAATCAGTTTTACCTTAGCAAGTACTAGCCCGCCCACCCGCCCTCCATTTTCTTGGAAGGTATGTCATTTGCCAAAATCAGTTTTATCGTAGCAAGTACTAGCACCGACGACCCATCCTCTTCTCATTCTATCTACTAATTTTGTTTCTGTTCACTATAAAATAATTAATTTCATTCAGATAAAATAATCACTGAAAAGGAGGCCTAATTATGTTCTTCTGTCGAGTGGGTGTGGAAACTAATAGTGGAATAGTGGAACAAAAATTAATAATAATTTCCTTTTTTATCTACAAAATTTTTATAGATAGCTATTTTGACGAAACTCTAAAAGTTGCTGCATTTCAATTAGCGATTTTAGAAAAACCGTTGAAATTTCCGAAGAAATGAATCCCAAAATGACTTCTCGATATCGAAATCTACAAAAAAATTTCTTCAACTAATTTTCGGACATGGTCGAAAATTTTAAAATAGCCAAAATCAGTCTTAACTTAACAAATACTAGCCCCGCCCACCCACCCTCTATTTTCTTAGAGAGTATGTCATTTCTCAAATTAGTCTTATTTTATCAAGTGCAAGAAGCCTCGCCCCCCTCTTTTCATTCTAACGACTAATTTTATTTCTGTTCAGTATAAGATCATTCATTTCATTCAGTTTGGATAAAATCGATCACTGAAAAGAAGACAGGGTGGGTGGGCGGGGCTAATTATGTTTTTCTGTCAAGTGGAAATGGAAACTAATAATAGAATCTAGAATGTGAAAAAAGTAGAGCTAATCGTAACTTTCTTTATTAAAATCGGTCTTATTATAGCAAGTACTAGCCCCACCCACCCGCCCTCTATTTTCTTGGAAGATATGTCATTTGCCAAAATCAGTCTTATTTTAGAAAGTACTAGCACCGCCTACCTACCCTATTCTCATTCTAACTAATAATTTTATTTCTGTTCAGCATAAGATCATTCATTTCATTCAGTTTGAATAAAATCAATCACTTAAAAGGAGACAGGGTGGGTGGGCGGGGCTAATTATGTTCTTTTGTCGAGTGGGAGTGGAAACTAATAATGGAATAATGGAACAAAAATTAATAATAATTTCCTATTTTATCCACAAAATTTTGTAGAGAGCTATTTTCACGAAACTGTAAATGTCAGTTGCCAAAATCAGTCTTGTCTTAGCAAGTATTAGCCCCACCCACCCGCCCTCTATTTTCTTGGAAAGTATGTCATTTGCCAAAATCAGTCTTACCTTAACAAGTACTAGCACCGCCTACCCACCCTCTTTTCATTCTATCTACTAATTTTGTTTCTGTTTAGTGTAAAATCATTAATTTCATTCAATTTGGATAAAATCAATCACTGAAAAAGAGAAAGGGTGGGTGGGCGGGCCTAATTATGTTCTTCTGTCGAGTGAGAGTGGAAACTAATATTGGAATAATGGAACAAACACTAATAATAATTTCCTTTTTATCTACAAAATTTTATAAAGAGCTATTTTGACGAAAGTGTAAATGTCATTTGCCAAAATCAGTCTTGTCTTAGCAAGTTCTAGCACCGACTACCCACCCTCTTCTCATTCTATCTACTAATATTGTTTCTTTCAGTATAAAATCATTAATTTCATTCAGTTTGGATAAAATCAATCACTGAAAAAGAGAAAGGGTGGGTGGGCGGGCCTAATTATGTTCTTCTGTGGAGTGGGCGTGGAAACTAATAGTGTAATAATGGAACAAAAATTAATAATAATTTCCTTTTTTATCTACAAAATTTTTATAGAAAGCTATTTCGACGAAAATATCATTTGCCAAAATCAGTCTTATCTTAGCAAGTACTAGCTCCGCCCACCCGCCTCTATTTTCTTGGAAGGTATGTCATTTGCCAAAATCAGTCTTACCTTAGGAAGTGCTACTTACAAATACCGGATACCTACAAATTGTAAAATCTGCTTCTAAAAAATTTTTGCTGCAGAAAGACACTCTTTTAGTGATGGACTTTCCTATTCTTAAAGCGTCCTTCCATTTTTTCAATAATTTTGAGTCATTTGGGAATAAATGTCAGGGGATTTGTATGTGCTCCACTGGGGCATTCAAAAGTAACGTTTACAGATACTCGTCATTTTGATGGTTTATTCTTAATACACAGTAAGTAAATTTGCAGCTGAAACCTGCAAACCATATATGGTTTTAATGGTATTATTTATCTGAGATGTGAAGGGTACACGGGAATAACGATCAAAGTCCCTTTTTACAAACTGAGATAAGACTGCCATCTTATAGGAAATGCTGCTGAATACTACAGTAGTATAAATTAAAACCATTCAAAAAACGATCGCAGTGAACAGAAAGAAGGGCTTAACATATGGTATCCAAAGGAAAAGAGATCAGACTCCAACCCTACAATGATAAAAAAATCAAAGTCCAACACAAATGCCCAGAACGGGCAACAATGTTTTTCTTTGGCAGTTAACATGAGAGGGCTTATACATACAAAGATCCTACACCAATGTATTTCGAAGGAAAAATTCGAAAATCTTCAGTTTTTTGGGAAGATTCTTGGAACAACCGCCCAGAAATATTACCGAAATATACCCACAATAGTTAATGCCACCGATGAGGATTTGATTTAACACGTAAGAAATTTGGAAGTAACAATAAGCTTAAAATGAAAGTTGTGGTTACAGCAGCATATCAATGGACACTGAACGTTTGTCCCATGGAAATAAAATACTTTTTCCAAAATTATATATTTATTTGTGTTTAAATTAATTACTAAGTTTGTTTGTACACTCTTTGTTTAGTACTATAAATTAATGTTTTACATTAAACAAAAATTCTAAATTTTTGTTTTGTTTTGTATCTATTATTTAGATTGCAAACTTTAAAATTCATTTTTCTCACTAATTATAAAAGGTGGCGCTAGCGAGGATATTATGTCACAAGTCACAGTTCCTTTTTATATAAAATTTGGTTGCTTATACGACATGATTGGTTCACTTTTCCCCCCTGGTGACTCATCTTGTAGTTTTATTTGCACCCGTTCTCATTCGGTTACGGGACGCCACTGGAAATCTAAACAGAACTTAGAGAATTTGGCAGCCGTGATTGGTGCCATTGTTGAATGACAACTGTCAAACCAAACGTCAAATAAATTTTTGAATTACATAACGCGCGCTTTGCTGCACTAATCAATACAAAAAGCGACACGTCTGACAATTTCGGCTTCGTGCAATGAAAAGCGGCGACCAAAAAGCCCCTGAATGCAACACCTGCCTAGAACCAAAAATCTCTGTAATCTCACTCCAATGTCGCATTTGCTATGAAAATGAAAAAAACGAACCATTAATAGCCCCCTGCAACTGCAAGGTTGCTTTTAATCTCCGCATGACCCCCTACTAACACCAAAATTGCAGGGCACGGTTGCCTTCGTACATCAGAGCTGCCTTGAGAGATGGTTCAACGAGTCAAATACAACAAATTGTGAACTTTGCCATGTTGTGTTTCGGACTGAACGCTTACCAAAATATACACCGAGACAGTCGATCTGGCGTTGGGTGAGAACTCACAGAGCTCCTAGAGGCATTACAAGAGGAGTACGGAGTGATATCATTGCATGTACTGTAATAACTCCGGTGGCTATCATTATTACGTATGCATGCCTGTATTCGTCTGATTATTACAATGAAAAGAAATTTGTGTTGCTGCCTGCTGCTCGGTGGACTTCATTGTCGTTACTTATAATGATCGGGATCATGTTGATTGGATACTATTTATGGGTCTATTCAGTTATTAGAATGCATTCAAGAATGTGGTATAACTGGTGGCAGAGGGACTGTGTAGTAAGGTATATTCCACCAAGTAATACACAGATTTGCTGTCACCCTCCTGCAGAAGTAGCTAATTTAGATGCTGCTGCATCGACTGCGCTGTTACTTGAAATACCATCTGCTGAAAACAATGAAAGTGAAAGTTTTACCAGTATACAAGAGGTTGGAAGTGATTCTGAAGTTTCAGAAGAGTCTGAAGAAAAAATTGAGAATGAAGTTGTTGCAGTTAACATCCCTGAAGAAGAAATTATTACTATTGACATCCCTGAGGAAGAAATATCTCATGAAAATGCAGACAAAGAAACAAAAAGTGAGATATAAATGCACTTAATTTATTGTTATATATATATCTATATTTAATATATGTTTAAGATGCTCGCCTTTTTATTGATATTTTGCCTCGAGCCAGGTTAGATAAGTAAATCTTGACTTTGTTGCCGTCTGATCGTTTCACCCATATCTAAAACAATTAACTATAAGTATGATGTATACTATGTATAGAGATCATATATAAACTAAAGCACCTTAATTAACGGATTCGATTACAATACTTCCTTCGCTTACGCTCGGAAGCGTTTTTTCGACCTTTCATGAGTTCTAAAGTACGAAGAAATAGGTCTCCCGTTTTCGTCTGTCTGTCTGTCTGTTTACCGTCCCGATTTTTATTAAACAGATAATCTCCGAAAGTACTGGGCCGATTGTCTCATCATACTTTGCACATTTGAGATAGGATCTATTCCGCAAACGTTTGAGTGACGTCATCAATTTTTTGGAGGGGATAAGTAAATATATTTTGATTAAAAATTTATCATGCTTGTCATAACTGTAAACGATCTGTAAGATTTCAAAGCATTCGGTTTTACAAATTCAAAATTGAACTGCAAAATGTGTCATAATTTCAATTTTTTTTTTCCAAAAATCTGATGTTTCGGGTAAAAACTTAGTTCGGAGTCATAAACTACATGTGTAGGACTATGTTATTTTATACTACTTAAAACCCAATTACTATGTACTACTGCACGCAAAAGTATTGTCGGTACCCAGCAGTGAAAAATTGAAAAATAGAAAAATTGGAAACTCGAATAATCGAAAAACTGAGAAATCGAGAGATGGAAATCGAAAAATTTTAAAAATGCGAAATCGAAACATTGAGATATCGAAATAGAAGATCGGAAAATGGGAAAATTCAAAACAGAAAAATTTAAACTTAAAAAACCTGATAAATCGAAAATTGAAAAATCGAAATATCGAAAAACTGAAAAATTAATTCCGAAAAGCTGAAAAATCGAAAAATATAAACACGAGAAAGCAAAAAATCGAAAGACTGAGAAATCGAAACAACAAAAAAGTGAAAAATCTAAAATATAAAAATTCGAATATTTGAAAATTTAAAAATCGACCAATCAAAACATCAACAAATGGAAAAATCAAAAAACTGAAAAATCGAAAAATGTAAGATTTATTAGAAATTCGCAACATTTGGAAACTCGAATAAGTAAAAAATAGAAAGTTGAAGAATCTAAAAAATTAAAAATCGCAATACATATTGAAAAATACAAAAACTTAAACATTGAAAATTTGAGAAATCGAGAATTCGAAAACAAAAAATTGAAAAATCGCGAAATCGAAACATCAAAAGATCGAGAAGTCGAAGTATCGAAACATTGAGAAATAAAAGTGGCTAAAAAACGAAAAAAGGAAAATTCAAAATTGAAAATTTTGAACTTGAAAAAAAAAACGATAAACCGAAAAACTGAAAAATTAATTCCGAAAAATTGAAAAATCGGAAGATCTAAAAATGACAAGGCGAAAAATCTAAATAAAACCGTTAAATCGAAAAGCGAAAAATCGGAATATCGACAAACTGAAAAATTGGAAAATCTAAAAACGAGAAGGTAAAAAATCGAACGATTGAAAAATCGAAACAAAAACTAAAAAATCGAAAATTTAAAAAATCGGGCAACCAAGAAACATCAACAAAGTGAAAAATCAAAAAATTAAAAAATCGAATAATATGAGATTAAAAAAGTCGCAATATTTTGAACAATTGAATATACTGAAAAATCGAAAAATATAAAAACCAGAAAGCAAAAAATCGAAAGACTGAGAAATCGAAACAACAAAAAAGTGAAAAATCTAAAATATAAAAATTCGAATATTTGAAAATTTAAAAATCGACCAATCAAAACATCAACAAATAGAAAAATCAAAAAACTGAAAAATCGAAAAATGCAAGATTTAGAAATTCGCAATATCTGGAAACTCGAATAAGTAAAAAATAGAAAGTTGAAGAATCTAAAAAATTAAAAATCGCAATACATATTGAAAAATACAAAAACTTAAACATTGAAAATTTGAGAAATCGAGAAACCGGAAAGACGAAAAATCTAAAAGTCGATTAATCGAGAAATTGAGAAATCGAAAAATCCAAAAATTTAGAAACGCCGAAAATTGAAAAATCGAAACATTGGAAACTCGAATAATCGAAAAACTGAGAAATCGAGAGATGAAAATCGAAAAATTTTAAAAATGCGAAATCGAAACATTGAGATATCGAAATAGAAGATCGGAAAATGGGAAAATTCAAAACAGAAAAATTTAAACTTAAAAAACCTGATAAATCCAAAATTGAAAAATCGAAATATCGAAAAACTGAAAAATTAATTCCGAAAAACTGAAAAATCGAAAAATATAAAAACGATAGGGCAAAAAATCGAAAGACTGAGAAACGGAAACAACAAAAAGGTGAAAAATCTAAAATATAAAAATTCGAAAAATTGAAAATTTAAAAATCGACCAATCAAAACATCAACAAATGGAAAAATCAAAAAACTGAAAAATCGAAAAATGTAAGATTTAGAAATTCGCAATATTTGGAAACTCGAATAAGTAAAAAATAGAAAGTTGAAGAATCTAAAAAATTAAAAATCGCAATACATATTGAAAAATACAAAAACTTAAACATTGAAAATTTGAGAAATCGAGAATTCGAAAACAAAAAATTGAAAAATCGCGAAATCGAAACATCAAAAGATCGAGAAGTCGAAGAATCGAAACATTAAGAAATAAAAGTGGCTAAAAATCGAAAAAAGAAAAATTCAAAATTGAAAATTTTGAACTTAAAAAAAAACGATAAACCGAAAAACTGAAAAATTAATTCCGAAAAATTGAAAAATAGGAAGATCTAAAAATGACAAGGCGAAAAATCTAAAGAAAACCGTTAAATCGAAAAGCGAAAAATCGGAATATCGACAAACTGAAAAATTGGAAAATCTAAAAACGAGAAGGTAAAAAATCGAACGATTGAAAAATCGAAACAAAAACTAAAAAATCTAAAATTTAAAAATTCGAAAAATCGAAAATTTGAAAAATCGGGCAACCAAGAAACATCAACAAAGTGAAAAATCAAAAAAACAAAGTCGAAAAATCTAAAAATTAAAAAATCGAATACATATTGAAAAATTCTAAAACTTAAACATTGAAAATTTGAGAAATCGAGAAATCGGAAAGACGAAAAATCTAAAAGTCGATTAATCGAGAAATTGAGAAATCTAAAAATCCAAAAATTTAGAAACGCCAAAAATTGAATAATCGAAACATTGGAAACTCGAATAATCGAAAAACTGAGAAATCGAGAGATGGAAATCGAAAAATTTTAAAAATGCGAAATCGAAACATTGAGATATCGAAATAGAAGATCGGAAAATGGGAAAATTCAAAACAGAAAAATTTAAACTTAAAAAAACTGATAAATCGAAAATTGAAAAATCGAAATATCGAAAAACTGAAAAATTAATTCCGAAAAACTGAAAAATCGAAAAATATAAAAACGAGAGGGCAAAAAATCGAAAGACTGAGAAACCGAAACAACAAAAAGGTGAAAAATCTAAAATATAAAAATTCGAAAAATTGAAAATTTAAAAATCGACCAATCAAAACATCAACAAATGGAAAAATCAAAAAACTGAAAAATCGAAAAATGTAAGATTTAGAAATTCGCAATACATATTTGAAAACTCGAATAAGTAAAAAATAGAAAGTTGAAGAATCTAAAAAATTAAAAATCGCAATACATATTGAAAAATACAAAACCTTAAACATTGAAAATTTGAGAAATCGAGAATTCGGAAACAAAAAATTGAAAAATCGCGAAATCGAAACATCAAAAGATCGAGAAGTCGAAGTATCGAAACATTGAGAAATAAAAGTGGCTAAAAATCGAAAAAAGGAAAATTCAAAATTCAAAATTTTGAACTTAAAAAAAAACGATAAACCGAAAAACTGAAAAATTAATTCTGAAAAATTGAAAAACCGGAAAATCTAAAAATGACAAGGCGAAAAATCTAAAGAAAACCGTTAAATCGAAAAGCGAAAAATCGGAATATCGACAAACTGAAAAATTGGAAAATCTAAAAACGAGAAGGTAAAAAATCGAACGATTGAAAAATCGAAACAAAAACTAAAAAATCGAAAATTTAAAAAATCGAATAATATAAGATTAAAAAAGTCGCAATATTTTGAACAATTGAATATGTAAAAAATCAAAAAAACAAAGTCGAAAAATCTAAAAATTAAAAATTGAATACATATTGAAAAATTCTAAAACTGAAACATTGAAAATTTGAGAAATCGAGAAATCGGAAAGACGAAAAATCTAAAAGTCGATTAATCGAGAAATTGAGAAATCGAAAAATCCAAAAATTTAGAAACGCCAAAAATTGAAAAATCGAAACATTGGAAACTCGAATAATCGAAAAACTGAGAAATCGAGAGATGAAAATCGAAAAATTTTAAAAATGCGAAATCGAAACATTGAGATATCGAAATAGAAGATCGGAAAATGGGAAAATTCAAAACAGAAAAATTTAAACTTAAAAAACCTGATAAATCCAAAATTGAAAAATCGAAATATCGAAAAACTGAAAAATTAATTCCGAAAAACTGAAAAATCGAAAAATATAAAAACGAGAGGGCAAAAAATCGAAAGACTGAGAAACCGAAACAACAAAAAGGTGAAAAATCTAAAACATAGAAATTCGAATATTTGAAAATTTAAAAATCGACCAATCAAAACATCAACAAATGGAAAAATCAAAAAACTGAAAAATCGAAAAATGTAAGATTTAGAAATTCGCATTATTTGGAAACTCAAATAAGTAAAAAATAGAAAGTTGAAGAATCTAAAAAATTAAAAATCGCAATACATATTGAAAAATACAAAAACTTAAACATTGAAAATTTGAGAAATCGAGAATTCGAAAACAAAAAATTGAAAAATCGCGAAATCGAAACATCAAAAGATCGAGAAGTCGAAGTATCGAAACATTGAGAAATAAAAGTGGCTAATAATCGAAAAAAGGAAAATTCAAAATTCAAAATTTTGAACTTAAAAAAAAACGATAAACCGAAAAACTGAAAAATTAATTCCGAAAAATTGAAAAACCGGAAAATCTAAAAATG